CAAAAACTGGCTTTCAGTGCAGAAAATGCTGCTTATGTGTTACTGTTTCTCTGGTGTGTGTGTGCCACAAATAGTCCAGGCGCTGCACTTCTTATGTTTCAGAGTTTAAAAGTACAAAACAAAACACTGTTAACATTATGTAGTAATTGATTTTGGACAATTCAGAATTGTTTATGACTGCAKTGCAACACATTAAGTAGATTGTAACCTCTTCTCTTAGTTGTTCCATTGTTTAAACCATGTGTCAAACTCCAGGCCTGGGATTCTGTCCATCCCACCAAAAATATGGTAAACTTTAAATTTATGATTCAATGCAACAAAAAAAAAAAAAATGAAAAAGGTTAAATATAATACTTGTCTGGCCCACTGAGAAGTTTAGTTGAATAGCCCTGTATTGTCTCAAAATAAGCTGCCTTAAAGCCAGTATTGACCATAAACTACATATCCCAAAATGCATGCCCATTATATTTGGGAATTACCTGTCGGAAAGTGGGAGTGTTCAGAATTCAAAACAGCAGCTACTTACCACAACTCAACAGTGAGAATTTTTTTTTCCTTTTAATAGTATTTCTGCATCAATATTTTCACATTTAGTCAGTTGCGCATAGTACTTTTTATTGTTTATAAGAGGACTTTAAAAAATGCTGTTTCTATGCAGGAAATACCATATAGAGCTCAGATATTGTTTATCGGTGCTCAGTCYTAGCAATGAAACGAGGAAWGTGATGTTTCCTGTTTAGTCGAAGTTAAACACAGTTTATTACAACTGGRCATTTGAGGGCCACCGTAACGCTCATATGGCCCTCAGTGAAAATGAGTTAGACACACTTGATCTAAATCAAAACCATCTATCCAGTAACTTCTAAGCCATTTCATATTGTCTTAGTTGWCTAATTAAACTAAAGGATTTGTTGAAAAGGGAATATGAGTTTGTCTACCCAAATAGATTGTAATCTCTCCAGCAATGGTTGCTAACATTTAGCTTGCATCCAGCTGACAGACTGACCCCTTAATGAGAGTGCCAGTGGCATGAATTTGGGACTTCAATAAGTATTAATTAGGAATCAGTTCAATGACATAATTACTGACAATTGTGTATCGAGACACAAAAACAATGCATTACTCTAGTGATAAGCGTGTGAGAGTAAGAAGGTGTTAATTAAAACAACACATCACCCTGCTCCATTTTAATGCTCCTGATTCTCCCTCTCACGTCCTCTCACACATATTCATTAGAGCAAATGGAATTAAAGGGATTGGAGGAATAATCTTCCTGCTCGGCCTTGTGGGGGAACCAAGTCGTTAATTTTCCACCTCCAGCTCCACTTGCTTTGAAAAACCTTGCAGCACAAGAATGATTTGGAACACTCAAATGTTATGTGACGTTAGATGGGCTCTAAGTAGGTTCTTGTGCCTATACACACAGTTTGCATTTCTTGTTCTCCAGTACATCAGGGACTATATTATTATGCGAGATGTTTTATTATTTATATCTTTATTTAATTTTATTTTTAAGAAAACACAGGTGCAGATGTAGAAGACAGTATTGGGTCTAGGCTTGCAACAAACAGCACTGGAAGTCCCTGAGTTTGCCTCTCCCTCTCTATTACRGCTTTAGGGTTTTTGTCTGCTTTTTATTCAGTAATATTTTGGGAAATATGACAAGAAGATGACAATGCAGTGTATACAAGTGTGCGTTTGCATCTGTGTCAGCCTGTTTTCCAGCTGAGGAGCGAGATAACAAAAGATCAAAGTATCAGGTTTGCCCAGGTCACTCGGTTTCTTTCCTGTAGCTGTTGTAAACAGACAAATAGCTCATATTCCTGCAGAAGTGCATTCAGTCCTCTTTGAAATGGATATTCACATATTTAAATGTACACGGAGTAAAAGCAAAACAAGTGGAAAAGCCGAGACGCACGCAGACAAAGGCTCACACAGTGCACATGATTTGTTTCCRGGGTTGCTTCTATCTGCTGGCCTGCCTTTGATTTGTTTATCTCTGCTCTCCATGAATTATACATTCACATCCTGGACTTTATGAAACTTTCCAAATGTGGTCCCTTGGTAGTCGAGTCTAATAACTGCCCTCAAATGTCCCACGCTTGAACTCTTGAGTTCACGGAAGGCAGCGAGGGATAATTTAACCAAAAAACACAAACATGAGATAATTTTGCTCTCAAAAGATACACAATAATGATTTGATCTTGCTTTAATGGTTTATGTTTATCACCAAGACCAAACCCTGAGTTAGTTGACAGTAAGTTTAGATGCTTCCCATCTTTTAGATTAAATTAGTATTAAATAAAGTCTGCAATATGTCATAGTTGAAGGCTGTATACAGCAACCCAGGTGTAAGTGCTTTCAATGCAGCTTTTTTTTAACATTTGGTGACATTGCTGTCATGGCAACAGTCTCTGRAGGAGTGTGTGTTTGAGTTGTAGTTGCCAAGTACTTGTCATGCTCATGTCAAGGTTTTTTAATTTCTTCCAGAAATAAAAGATATCTGTATATAATTCCACAAGTTGTATAATAAATAAATGAGCTATGTGAGCCATGTCAGCTTATAGAGACCCAACTGCCTTAGATTTAATGTAAGATTTACTAATCAACTGTTGTAAAAATAAAAATACATGTAGTAGCAGATATGGTAACTATTTGTACATAAAACAAAAGATGGTGGTCAATGTGTAAAGTTATCTAAAACATATACTCATTCTGCTGTCTAAATAAAATAAACAAATTTGTCGATTGCAGCTAAAGGTGAGAGGCAATCATGTTTTGTCTGTTTGTATTTGACTGTAGCATTACTGAATAACTTATCAACCAGTGAAAGCATTTTAAGAAGACTAACAAAATAATCAATATTCATTGTTATAATTTTGGAGTTGACCTTATTCATGATAGCTGCCGCAGTTGACCAACATTTACCAACATAAAACTACCATGTTTATTCAAGTATAATACGTAAAATTTAATCCATAAAATCATTCATAAAGTTGGGGGGAAGTATTATATTCAGATAAATATTTTAACCGAAATATTGGCTTCATTCAGTCTAGAAATGAGACCGCGTCGTAAAAAGCAGTTGAAACGAGCTCACCTGTGACATTCCTCCGTGCTTCAGAGCGAGATAGTAACAGATCCAYGCAGGRGACATGATGTGGAAAAAGGGGGAAAAAGCAGTCCTGCACCTTAGTAATGATAACGAACTAATGACATTAACGTTTGACCGAGCTGCTCCTGGAACAACAACAAACACACGTTCGTCTATAATAGCGGCCTTCTACCGGTGTTCTGAAAAAGTTTGTATCCCTGAAAAAACGTTTCCCCACCAGAGGGGGAGCTCGCGAGTAGGAAATAATCTGCTTTTCTCCCACAAGATGGCCCAAATCTCATGTGAAGTCTCTGACTTTTGTGTGGGTGCCTCCTGGTGGACTATGTGCAAAATGTCAGAATTCTTATAATGCTCAAAATCATAGTTTGTTGATATATATTTGTTGTCAAAATACCTTTTAGTACATATGTTGTTAAAATAAAATGAACAGTCCAATGATCATTTTACTGATATGTTTAAAGACTGCAAAGGCTGAAAAATCTTGAAGTCTGTATGAAATTGGAGGTAGTTTGAGAATTAAATTTTTTATGCCTTTTAAGCTAAAAAAAGGGGGGGGCGGTCGTATTATACATGAGATTGTATTATACACGAATAAATACGGTAATTATAACTAGTTTTACAAATACTGAGCATAAAATTGGTTTGGTAGCAACTGAGTCATTAAGAACACATGCTCTGAACTCTGTCCCATCTCATCAGATCTCATATTATTGAATGAGARTGAGCCTCATTTAGTTACACTGTGTGACTAAAACAAAGACTTGGAACTCTGCCCCTTTCCAAAAAAGATGAGTTTAGTTTAAAACTCTGTCATAAAAAGCAGAGGGCTATCTGTATTTTTTTAAGGAAGGTTGAGTCTTTTATTAGCATTTTTATTTATTTCATAAGATGTCCTTTTTAAAAGTATTATCTTGGCTTTGTCTGCATTGATTAAACAGGATAATGCTCCAGTAAAGTTTTACTTTTGGTTATTTCTCATGTCTGAAACAGACAAGTGTTTAGGTCTTGATACCGCCATTTATGTCTGCTTACAGTAACCTTTCAGAAGTGTCAGAAATCCTGCAAAATTGATCCCTAACCTTTTCAAATGGCAAAGGACAAGTGTCGATGCTGGATGGCAGAGATTTCTGATGATGCCCGAAGGGAATAAAGACAGTGAGTGATTAGCTCAAGAAACATTACAGCCACTTACACACACATACAGACACACAGATACACACTGTTGGTTAGGCTTTGTTCAGCAGTTGTGGTTCATTTGTGTGCGGATGTGTAGAAGACAGCTGATACTCCTGATCTGATGCTTAAGTTGAGATTGGCAGATGAGTCTTTCTCCTATGGAATGCCAAAGTATGCAACATCTTTGTGTGTGTTTTTGTGAATGTTGACAAGTACAGGGACCCCTCCCTCCTTTGCTGTCCCCTCTGTCAGGGGAAAAATCAATCTACCTGTCAGCCATTGAACACCTTCGGCCTGTTACGTTACCTATCAGCAGAGACACGTGTGTTTGTGTGTGTCTTCTGTCATTCTGTCAACCCCGTATCGGTCTTTTTGTGCCTTTTTTGTCGGTCTGTCCTGCTGGTTTTCAAGCGTCTCTTGCTGCTTCAGATCTTCACTCTCCCCTAATCGTCATTCTTGACATCTTCGGTAAAAACGAGAGCTTCACATGTGCAGCTTACCTTTTTAGTCATCTCTTTATTCTATATTAACTTTATGATTCACCATTCATGCTTTTCTAATAAGTGTTAAAGATTTACAAAAAGAAATATCAATGCAGTARGACCGATCTTCTAAACTTTTGACTCTTTATTTTTTTTCAAGTTGATGAGAAAAATAGTCAACAGCCAAGAACTGAAACTCATCTTGTACTCAAAAATTTGTTTTCCAGATCCCCCAGATCAGCTATGCATCTACAGCACCTGAGCTGAGTGACAACAGTCGCTACGACTTCTTCTCTCGCGTGGTGCCGCCGGACTCCTACCAGGCCCAGGCCATGATGGACATAGTCACAGCGATGGGATGGAACTACGTGTCCACATTGGCCTCAGAGGGAAACTATGGCGAGAGCGGTGTGGAGGCCTTCATCCAGATTTCCAGAGAAACTGGTAGGAACTTATTTTTCTTRCTCCTCTTTCTTTGCTCGTTGGCTAATTTTGTTGTKTAGGTGAGTTTGTCTTTGGTTTAATGTTTGTTCTGATTGTTTTTGGACCTGCTGTGGTGACTGTATGTGTAATATGCTGTTTGAATCATGAAAGAACAGTSTGAGGTAGCTTTAAACTGTTAGTAGTGAAGTTTATAATTTCTTTATCCACTGTTTGTAGAGACAGTAATTATAAAGTGTTACCAGAAACCTTTGATGTGTGCTGAATGAGTTTTGGAAACTGAAGTGCAGCATGTAACTATCTTTATCTTCATGGAAGCTTTAATAGTAGTTTAGTGMTTGGGTGAAATACAGGCTGAAGTTTAGACTTGTTTATATGTACTATATTTTTCTTTTTTTCTTTTGCTTTTTCTGCATTCTTTCAACAATAATGCAGGTTATTTTYTAGTTTTATTACAAAAATGTTCACTGCCATGCATAAAGTTTTTAAAAATATTCATAACTGGGGCATCAAAAAGTTCAGCTGTCATACAGACATTAAGAGTCCTTATATCAGGTTCAAGTCTTGGTTCTTTTCCAGGATTTTTTCTGCTTTCTGTCCTCTTTCTGTGTGTTCCACTTAACTTAAAGGCCACTAGACTCAACTAGAACAATAATAAKAAAAGAACTGCAGTTGCAGAACCTTGAACGTCTCCAAACAACATCRGTCGCTGGTGAATTCCTGTGCTAACACTTTGATTACATCAACTAGAGCGAAATAACTAAAGCACAGCATAAAGAGAATAAAGCTCATTCATCTTCTAATTAGTATAAGTGATTCTTACAGTACACAGCTGCTTTATACTGTGTGAAAAGCTCTTTTTTTCACTGTTCATTAAATTCCAGCAGCCATCTGAAGGCAGCAGGGCGCATAATTAACATGGCTTACAGTCTCCAATGTCATTGCCTCTCTTCTATTGGTTGTTTTATCAAAAGTAGGATTTCATACTTTGTAGRATTGTTATCAGTGCAAATGTTGTCATACAATGCCACTGACATGTTCTGACACAGAAAGAAGAAAAAAAAAGAAAACCTTTTAGTTTTACCCCCTCCAAGAAAATATTTTTTCTACTCTAGCTTTTTACTATAACCTGCTGATGAAGTATAATCAAGACAAGACTCAGATCATTTGAAATCCTAGACCTCAAATTTCTCCTAACTCTGCACCTGAAGCATTTATGGGTTTGTGGCCCATCCAGGGTTTTCATGATAAATACAGGTATGAGTGCCTGATTATGTAATTAAAACTGAGAATTTTACATCACAGATATGAGGGCAATAGTTTCATTTACTGGGTTTGGATGTAARGCAAATTACACTTCACTTATCCACTTATCTGTGGTCAGGTGTTTTTATTTGGTGTGTTTGGTCTAAAATAGTCAAATATTCATTCAGTTTAGCCATGAATGGAACAGTGACATTTTCTACCGAAGCTTCATTGGTTGAATAAAACTCATGGAAAAGAGAGTGACATGGACACAAAAAAGATGAAATGGGGAAGATGGATCCCTTGTCTGTTGTGATTTGAATCTTAAAAGCCTGGTCCCTGTGGTCTTTAGAGCATCATGTTGTGTAAATACATGCTCAAATCAGTCTATGAACTCCTCCAAGTGATGTTGACAGATCAAAATGCTGTCAGTTTCTCTTGTTTATGGCTCAGATGTGTATCAGAACGCACCATGTTGAGCGCTGACAGATATTTACAGACTAAAAGAGCTTAAGATGAGTAAAATATTCATTAGAGAAAACGTCAATTGAGATTTTTTCCCTCTTGATGTATTTGGATCATTCCCTTTACGCCAGTCGTTCTCAGCGTCGCTTTTCCCTTGTCTGTGTGCTGCTGCATAGATGACAGCTCTGCATGTGAGTGTGTTTGTATGTGTGTGTGTGTGTGTCCATCTGTCCATCTCCATGCATCTCTGGAGCCACCTCACCCGGGGGCTGGACGCTGTGACAGTCAGCACATAGATATTTTCTGTGGTGTCAGATCGCAGGCCGAGTGAGCCCCCACTCTGAAGGCTAAAGCAGTCCTCAGCATTTGTGTGTGTGCCTGTGTCGTGCCGGTCAGCATAGTGCTTTCTTCCTCAGTGTGTGTATGGGTGGGCGACATGCTGTGACAGCAGCCAGTCAGTTGTTTACTCTGCAGCTCTGAAGATTCAAACCAAACCAAAAGGATGAAGGGATGTAAGAGCAGGACAGAGCTGGGGATGGCTTATGGGATGTTGGTGTGTGTTTTTGTATTAAAGTTGTGAAAGACAGATGGCAGAGGACAAGATAACAAGAAAAAAAGCCTAGCATGACTTGAAGGAACTCACATCAGCAGCTGCATTTCACACCAGAGTTTTAGCCTAAGATTAGCTTTGATTAACAAATAATGGAGTTGGAGTTGGTTTGGTCATAGTTTGAAAGTGGCATAATGCACAATCTCATGCAATGTTAAAGTGCCTGTGACATGAAAAATTTATGTGAATATAAAGGCATTATTGGAAAGATAACATTAATAACATTTTGCAAAAATCATTTCCACTGCTGAGATGAACAGTTGTTGAGATATTTGCATGTGAAGTAACAGGAAGTGATGTCAAGAGGGAATGTCTGCATGTAAACAGAGCGTTAATAAAATGGCTGGCAACAAAGACAGTACAGAAGAATCGTGTTTCTTTAGATGAGTCAGATTTCAAATATTGTTTTAATAAACAAAGTAACTCTCTAGAGTTCCCCTTTGARGTCACTTCCTGTTTCACTTTGGCTGAGCCAAGTTCGAAAGAAAATATGCCACTAATGTGACAAAATGGGTKAAATCAAGTTTTATGCAAAGTTTCGTATATAAAAAGTGTTTTCTTTGACTTTTTGTATTCAGTAGATACAGGCACTTAAGATATCACTTGATGATAATGATAATAGTCATTTTTGTGTTTCTTCGGCTGATTAGTTACGGTGGCCATCTTACATCAGGTTGAATCCAAAAGTTAATTAATTGTAAATTTACATCTAATGATTATCTTAAGCGTTTCATTAAAATCCGCTCAACAGTTCATGAGATATTTTGCTAATGGTACATTCAAATGAGCAGGCATAAACATAATGGCTATCTTGTCTTTAGCAGCTGGTGATAACAAAATGAGTGAATAACATATGAGTACCACACAGATTCAAAGCATCTTTAGCTTTGTAACAAAAAAATCCACTTARGCGTGTTATGTCTGCATTTATATTTATATACAGTGCATGGTGCTCCCCCACACAAAGAGCCACAGGAATTTCTAGGTGATTATTTTGTGATTACAGTGTAATAATTGCAAGGAAATCTGATTAGTGGATCCAAACAGCCATATAAATTGGTGTGTAATTATCCACTGGTACTTYTTGACAGTGTATGTAAAATAGTGCCATCATGATTGCATACATGCATGCATATAATCTAAACGTTTCAAAATAAAGGTGCAAGTCTCATTTGCATAAAGTCAAACGTCACTGATTGTTGTTCTGGGCTCTTGCTTTAATGATGGAATACATTTAACGGTGCCTAGTCATGCTTCTGCACCGACAACCTGTATTTTATCTTACYGAACACACTAAAGAAAAAAACTGCCTCTGCAGAATAATCTTTGAAGCTCAATAAGTCCTACTTATATTTGCTGCTACACAGCTGCAACATTGTGCCACTCCCTGGAGAAGTTCATTTGGAAATCCTGCACAACTAATTTTTCAGCCAAGCTTACACAACAGTCAGCAATAACTTTCTTTCTGCGAGAAGTGCTTCAGGGGAAGATGGAAATAGATTCAGATTTTTAGGTTTCAGCAAAGACTGAGTCAATTGAAGTCATCGACTTGCATCAACTTTCACATTGTTGCATAGCTCTGTAGTGGCACCAGATATTGGGCATACGTTTGTATTTTATTGCCTCTGAAATGTTACAAAGTACAGTGTCAGTTGAGACTCGTTTCATCAACATGAGCACCTGTGTCAGTTGGTTGTGCTTCAGTGATCGCCCACCTGGAATGACGATCAACCAAGGTTATTTTTCTCTGTTTGTAACTTGAATTAAACCCCTACTGGAAGCAATAAGATGTTTAAATGATGTTTACTGTTTCAATCTGGATTGAGCCYTTTATAATGTGACTTCAAATCAGAGGTGGGACCAAGTCACAAGTCAGAGTCATGTCTTTGACTTGGAATTTCTTGTCCTTTTGAGTCTTTTTAAACAATGTTGCAAGTATACGATAAATATAAATAGATCATGTGCTCTTTTTTAAAAATCTACATTTATATCAAATCGTGATGAAATGTGCAGCTGAACGTACAAGTATTAAATATTATTAAAACTGCACCTCTACTGTATATTTCAAAGTTCAAATGAACTTAGCGGCAAAAATAGTCTT